TCCGTCGAGGCTCCCTACACCCCCGCTTCTTCTCTTGACCCTCGTGGTACCCATAGCCGCGTTTATACCGACCCTCCCATCCACCCCCCACTACTATCGATCCTACAGAGAAGGCACTGTGTTCCATTCGCTTTGGTCTACTTCAATCCAACCAAGAATTCTCGCTTCGTGTTATGCTCGTCGATCTTGACTGTTACTCTTGTTCCCGAGGCGTCCTATATAGATTCTTCTCCGATATGCAATCTTCGCAGTAAGTCACCGCATCTCGCTGCAGCCAGACGATGCTCTTCCTGTAGACGCTCCCTCCTGACAGGGCGTAGTACTCGATCGGGATCGATCGGATCATCTATGTCACGAGAGAGAATTGCAGTGACGGAGGTGTAATGCTTTAGGACGGTAAACGTAATTTCTGTACTTACCAAATGAATTCTCGGGACTTTTATTTTTTTTTTTTAATTTTTTTTTTTCATTGCTTCTTGACTTCCGTTTTTCTTGTCCATGTCGCTTTGCACTGTTCAAAGGATCGTCGAGTCATAATTCACGTCGTTCGGGTCTCGACGCTCATGAAAATTCCGAAATAGGGCAGGAAGACGACACGGAGTTTCGTGCCTTTATTTTCTTACCGCGTTTCTCAAAATTACTCACTGGACGACTCTCGAGTTTGTCTTCGGGATTACTTCGACTTTCGTTACATTCGTTTCTTGGTCAGGCCCATTGTCGTTGCTTCGAGGGAGAGTAGTACATCCTGCGAATGATTCTTAGCGACTCCGCTTTCTTGGCTACGATCACTCATCTTTAGTCGTAATGCCAATGTCCTACGAATACTTCGATGTAAGCAATGCATAACTTATATATCGAATATCCGTTGCACGATGATCGAATTTATTATTACCTCGAAAAGTCATTTCCACGGTGATCGATTATCCGTGAGCTAATTTCTCGGATATATCCCAGTATAAAATCCAGTATAGATATCCCAGAAATAACTTGGCTTTCCCAATCATGCAAATTGATACTCAATATGGCCAGCCTCGTGCAACATAAATTGTATGGCTTACAAAGATTACAGATAATACAATCATTTGTGCAATTCAAGTACTTCCTATGGGATTAATGGCTCATCAATAGCGTTTAATTGTTTACGCGACGTAATTACCTCTTATGGAATTAAATTTTGTAATAATTATACAAAAAGTACATTATAGGGGTATATTATTTTTTGTTTAAATCATAAATTTATCAATTTTTCTAGATACCGTCAAGGTCATCGTACGTAATATTTTATCAAAACGAAATAAAACTTTGCGAAACGTTGGCATTCAAAAATGACTATATGAAGAAAATGATATACACGTAAGATTTCTTCTGCCATATTAAACAGCACGAAGGGAACGTGAGCATGTTCACGTCAAGAACGTAACCTTGGCTGATCTTCCTCTTTATCTTTTCATGGGGTATAAGCTAACCAACCGTGTCAACCATTGTCCCGGAAAAGTAGGATCCTCTAATCATGAGGTTTCCATTCTTTGAATATTCCCTGAAAATCTCCGTCGTAAGTTACCCAAGTAATAGTTTCGCGATTTCAGCTTTTTTGCCAAACAAAAAAAAAATCACGCAATATTCAGATAGAAATGAGATTTTTTAAATTACATAATTAAATACGATCAACAGAGAGTAAGCAGAGGCATAATTTATTTTGAATTTATTAATAACAGTGAATCTGAAATTTTTTATAATTTAAAAAAAATTCCATTTTCCATTTAGTTATTTCAAGCTCGACCCTCGATTTCAGCAAACGACATGAAGGTTCGCTAATTCTAATACAACGTTAACGTGGAAATTTATATTTGCGCAGAAATGTTCGATCTGGCTTTCCCGGAGGTAAAATTTAAATGACGTCCAATGTCGATTCGCATGGCGAATGGAGCATGGACATAACGGGTAACAAACATCATTCATTTGCGACCGGGGAAATCCAGCGTTCCCATCGCGAGTCGTATTCAAACAAATCATCTTTTTTTTTCAGATTCCTCGCATCGCCCTTTCAAAATTTATTGCGTGGGTCCGACGTGCCACGTCTAGTTCCGTATAACAGGACGATGAAGTTATCTCAAGACAGCTCGATCGCATTGAATAAGACTACCGTACATCCGTAGACAGAAATCCATATATATTATTAAACCAAAAGCATTGTGCACAGTGCACGCACTGTACGAATAGAATAGTAATGCATATATAAGATACGCGAGTCGCATTGAACTTTTCAATATTCATAGAAAAGTTCCCGAAAGCTTTCACGTGATGCTGCAGGCTCCCACCGAGAGACACTGAACCGTCGCAAGAGTATCTTATACCTCCCCTCAAAATCTTTCACCTCCGGAGAATTTTGAAAAATCTCAAAATCAGGTCACCGATAAACAAAATCGTACCCCTCCGCAAGAAAGCTCAACGGGTTCAGCGCCAACTCGCAAGATTTCTATTACGCGTCCAGCGAAAGTAACATAGACGATAGTTACCATGGACCATCAGGAAGGGTGGCGAGGGTTACGGATAATATGTGGTCTGACGTATATCGAGATAAGAATACGAGAAAAAAAATTTGTTTGAAAAACCAAGTTTCTTCTTACAGCTATGTAGTCGCCAAGGTTCATCCAGCATTGCGGGTGAATTTAAGTGAAAGAAGGGTGAACTCCGGCGTCTTGTTTTTTAGCAAGTTGTTACGGCTAGTCAGCTTCACGGAAAATTGGACGGTCTCGTGAGGAATTTTCAACGTTATACCCCTCTTCCAGCCTTCCCTCCCGCCCACCACTCGCCCACCGGTATCCATCCTTTCCTCCCTTTCCTTCCCTCCGCCTTCCATTGGTTCGTCCGCGTCTCGTGCCTAGTCGCGAGCTCGAAAAAGTTATCGCGCTTCATAAATCTTCCCCGTGGGGCAGGCCGAGGGTAGGGGGTGCACCGAATGATGTTAAAGCGACGCCGACCGACTATCTCGCCAAGTTCTCGGGTCTCCAAAGCTGGCCTAACGGAAGTCGTCCGATGCAAATAACTTCCGGAACATAATAAAATTCCAGTTGCCATACTTCCCACGGGTTTCGGGAAATGCGAAACTTCATCGCGCGTTACCCGTGAGAGGATAATTTTTCCGATTATCCACCAACGCGCGAAGCTCGCGAATAAGAGGAGGATTCGGGCTGAGACGCGGAAATTGTGGATCTGCGAAATCTCGAGTGACAGCGTCTAACGTCGGGTTACCGCAAGAATCTCGTGACTTGTCAAGCCTGTTTTTGGTATACAGCGATTAAAATTGCAAGACGCGAGAATTTCGTACACCCTGTAAAATTGGCATACGAAAAATAATGTAGTTTAAAAAATATATAACGTACTGTATTCGTATCGTACAGCAATTCGTAACCTCGATAACCAATCCCTCAGGAAACGACTATCAGACTCACTAATACCGTAGGATATAAAAAATTCGTCAAATCGATTGTCCTGATTTATTCACAGGGACGGGGAGAGAGAGCAGGCGAGGAGGGTTATACGATAGTAATAAAATTCCCCAGTATGTCCGTGAACGGATACAGGCTCCTTCAAAGGTACCATTTCGCAAAGCTCATACGAGATAGATATGATGATTCTATTCAAGACGGTTGATACGTATTGGCATTCGCAGTGCCAATCGTGGACAAGAAAATAAATTGACGCTGAAAATCTGTCAATAAAATTGTCTTCGTAGGAATCGATCGGATGCTCGACAAAAAAAGATGATCGATGTTTATCAGCAATTATTTGGCACTCCTCGCATAATTAGTCTACCCGATTATTCATCCCTTGCCAAAATTTCGTTCTCGTTACAAGAATCTCGCTGTCAATCAGTGCCATCAATCTTTTTTGCTGCACCGACATTAACGGTCGCTATCCTGACTGGTTGGTGTAAATATCTGAGGGGTCCGAGGGGTGGTCGAGGGGTTGTGAATGAAAACAAAATGGAGGCTCAAAGGTGCTACGTCAACGGGTAAGAGCGTAGTGTATTTGTCGCGAGAATTTATCAAGTTTAAGTAATTAGGAACCGGGGGCCTAACAATGGACGTACGGCCCTGCCCGTTTAGAGCGCCAATTTACAAAAGAACTGACGAAGACGAAGCGATGCAATTAACGGGAAAAACTTTTCTGATATGCTATAGAGGGAAATAATTGTTAATTACGTAAGAGCCGAGGGATTGTTAAAGCAGTGCGGTGGTTTCACCAAGATTTTAAATCCTCGTAGCTCTCGCGACATTGGCCAGATCTTTCGCGTAATTTACTTGCAGTGTAATAATAGATCGAGCTTGAGCTTTGTGTCTTATACAGGGTCGTATTTATGAATCGATGCTATTGAAAATGTTGGTGAACTTTTGTCGCTGTTACATTCAATTGGACGCTTAATTGATCGTTCTATCTTAACCGCGTAGAAACAATGGGATCGCTTAACCAAATTGGTAAGACGATTGAAATAAAAAAAAATTGAAGAGTAATTTTGACGAAGAAAAAGTGAATGCATTTTCTACGGCTAATTTTATGAAGAAAGTAGGTAATCTTTTCGTACGATGGAAACGGGGATTTATGAGGTGCGTGGTGATAAGAGGAGCTACTTTAACGTGTAGCGTAAAAGATGGGATAGAGGGAGATAGAAAATTTCAAAGATACACAGTAAGGGGTAAAGGATAGCAAAGAAGAAAGGTCGACAAAGAAGCTAATTAAAGAAGA